TTTATGACTGAGAAAATTGATATTTATTATCCTCCAAAATGTGGCAGTCCTGGAGAACGGGGTAAGTAACACTTACCTTAATTAATATAGAAATAGTTTTCTTCAGTTTTTGCTTAAAAATTGAAAACAGGGAAAGGTAGGAAATATAATATACTACGCTTTTGAAAAGTAGATCTTCGCTATTTCGGAATTAATTACAGTTTAAAAGTGCCTATAAATACAAATAAATGTTGTATAAAAAGAAAAGTTTATCGTTGAACACGTATTACAAGTTTTATCATGCTTAAATATACTTAATTTATAAATACCTTCTCAGGAAAGTGAATGTACAGAGAATATGTTTTAGTTTGGCGACAAAGGACGAAAAATTAGCGCGTTAGTTAGGTTTTTGGTCTGGCGAGACCAACTGTTTCAAGTCTACTTGACTTCGCTTAGGCGTCATATTATCTCCTGTGCCATTTTTGTTTCGCTTTCATTCGCACAGCTTAATTGTTCTTTTGTTTAGTTTTCTGTTAGTTATTATATGTTAATTTTTTTGCTAGTTATTTATTGTTAGCTTGCTTTTTATTGTTATTAATTGTTTTTTTGCATTAATTGTTAATTTTTTATAAACAATTGTTCATTTTTTTTTTGTTTTTTGTGAATTTTAGTTCAATTGTTAATATGCTTCATGGTGAACTTTGTGATTGGTGGCGTGCCCAAAATATTGTGTTGCGTGCCATCATTGGCACGCGTGCCATTGGTTCGCCATCCCTGGTCTAGAGGGTCCATTTGGAAGACAGTCTTTACGGCGACAGATGGGCAAACATTTTCGCAAAAATGTTTTTCTTCGTGGTCGTACGGCTTCTCACATCCTTCGCAATAATAATTGGAGCAATAGAAACCCTTTAGAGATGTGATCACTTCAAAATGTCCACCGTGGAGCCACAGGTTAATCCGGCGTGGTCTACACACATCACTTTTGTATGACACCTAAAATTTAAAAGGAAAAATAGGTAAAAAAGCAAATTCGTAATAACACATTCTACAAGGATCATAAATAAATTTTTATTTATTAAAACTCATAACTAAACTTAATTTAACTTTTAAAAAGGTTTTTAAATTTAATATTTTTAAAAAAAACTAATAAGTGAATATTTTGAAAAAAAAAAATTTAAAATAATGTTCATAACAAAAAATATAATAATTATAAAAAAGTAATTTATAGAACAAAATATAGGGAAAAAAACAACATACCCTGTTTGAATTTTCTGTGGAAAACACCACAATTTGTGTATCCAGATAATCCTCAAAAACGGCAATCTCGCTGTATGTGCAAGGTCCCAGGGGTACACCGACATCTTCATGGAGTTTAACAGCTTTGTTAAAAAGTGCAGGACGTCGTTTATCTCTAAAAGCATTGATGGCTGCTTTATCCTTATCCACATGCGCTATAGCCCGTACTATAGCTTTTGCACAACACAGTCCCAGCTCATCATTATCGATGGTAATAATCGAGTTTTTTCGCAGCCTGTCGACTTGGATGTTTATGACTTTCCTATCCACTCCGGCACCAACATCACGTTTCACCGTGATAATGTCCACGACAAACCCATCCACCAGCTTGATTTTGTCTTTAGATAATATATCAATGATAAACATAATGTATATGAAATGAACTCTAAAAAAGAAAAATGTTAAAATTATGTTGGGGATAAAAATACTATAACATTCCAATATAATAGCAGAATTTAACTATAAAATAAAACATTAAATAAGCATGAATACATATAAATTAAATACATAATAAATAAATATATATTAAATAAATTAAATACATATTAAATAAATAANAATACATAATAAACAAATATATATTAAATAAATTAAATACATATTAAATAAATATAAATTAAATACATAATAAACAAATATATATTAAATAAATTAAATACATATTAAAGAAATAAATTAAATACATATTAGATAAATTAAATAATTAAAAATGCAAAATAAATAAATAAACAAATTATTTAAAACTCACTTCATTTGATGGATTATTTAAAACTCACTTCTTTTCATTTCATTTCCTTCCACAAACACTGATCCTCCACTAGAAGGTCCTGGCTGATTCTGATATAGAAATAAAAAATACATAAAAATAAATAAATGAATAAAAACAAATTTTCCACTGAGAGTTTTTTTTTTTAAATGGCTGAATAAAAGGTTATTACCTCAAATCCCGAACCCACTTGATAATAAAGAGGGAGATTTCGAAACACCTGAGTCGCCTCTACAAAACCTTGCGAGATTTCCCCAATTAAATTATCTTCGTCTTCCAGAAATTCTTGCGTGAGATCTCCCAAAAGCTAAAATTAGAGTTATTGTTCAAAAAATAGCTATGCCTATTAACAATTAATATTTTTAACAAACAAAAATTATACAATTACAAAAATTATGCAATTATTACCTCATCATCTGATTCATTAAATTCAAAACCTGGTTCACTCAAATTTATTCCATCATCATGCTATGAAAAAAAATTATATTTTAAAGTAAATAAATACTTTTTTAACTATACAAAAATATAAAGTAAGTTTTTTTAAATGAAGCGATACACGGGCGCTATACAAATAGCAACAACAATAGTTAAATATAGGAGAATAAATTCAAAATATAAACGAGATCTACGTTTAAGCATAGATTAAATAAATGAATTGAAAGAAATAAAATATTGAACTAAGCATAAAACTAAAAAAAAAAATCTAATAATTATTAATAAACTAAAAATTCAAATGATAATTATTAGCTAAACTAAAATTCAAATAATTATACTCTTCTTACTTCTTCAGAAGAATCGTCTCTTGAACGTTTGCTCATTGTAATCCTTATAAGACACTGGAAAAATAACTACACAATCGTAACAAACGGAATACAATTTCCAACTAACAAATTTTTTCGTGCAGCAACGATTTATATCAGTCTCTACTAACACGATAAATAAATATAACGTGATTACCCTTGTTAAATTTTGTGAGAAAGGGTTGAAATAATTCTCACACGAACTAATCACTAATACCTTAAATTCTACGATAAAACTCATAACCACACTGACCAATATCAACTTTTGGTGAGAAAAGTAGATAAAATGTGGTGAGAAAATAGATAAAAACCACTTTCCCTAGCACTATA